CAAGGAGGCTTTTCCCCACATTGGTATTTGCATTTCTTCACCTTCAATTCTTACCTTTTTACCTAAATCTCATACACAAGCAGCATTGTCTGAAGTTACCAGGCTGGTCAAAGTGGTTCTTCTATCAGGGCCAACTTATTCCTTTCATTTCATGTAGGAAGAAGGATCTGATTTTGAACATACTGACTTTATAAGGAAGCAGAAGGCATTTACAGCTGCAGATTACAGTGAAACCATCGTGACCTTGGTCCAACCACAGTTATATGCAAATATACACGTGACTTCCTAACACCAGCAGAGCTTGCTGCTGGGTGAAGTCCAGGAAACTTCTAGACGAGGAGGGGACCATTCACCAGCAGGCAGGGCTGTGTTACCTTGCCCAGAGCAAGTAGGTTGAGCAGCAAAGGGAGAGCTGATAGTACTGCACTTCCACATTAGTCCACCTCACCACGGACATCCCGGATGCAAGGGCAGCAAATTCATACCACGTAGCATGAACACACCAAACACAAACCCTTCCTTTTGAAAAAGAAGCCTAGGTTTGGAATAATATCAATACCCATGCATCTCTGCAATTCTATTCTGATAAGATATTTATTATATTAGTATAGTATTATATTATGAGTTGGGTTGGAAAAGACCTCAAAGCTCCTCCAGCTCCAACCCCTGCCACGGGCAGGGACCCCTTCCACTAGAGCAGCTTGCTCCAAGCCCCTGTGTCCAACCTGGCCTTGAGCACTGCCAGGGATGGGGCAGCCACAGCTTCTCTGGGCACCCTGTGCCAGCGCCTCAGCACCCTCACAGGGAAGAGCTTCTGCCTAAGAGCTCATCTCAGTCTCCCCTCGGGCAGGTTAAAGCCATTCCCCTTGGCCTGTCCCTACAGGCCCTTGGCCAAAGCCCCTCTCTGGCTTCCTTGTTGGTTCTTTTAGGCACTGGATATCACAATATATCATACGATATTGATATGATCAGGATTTTGTAATTACTTCCATCCAGAACACATTTGTACTGATTGTTTTATGTTTAGTTTTTAAACACAAATAGTTGATAGAAAGCAATGAGCCACCTGTGCCAAAAAAAGAATCTGAGATATAGAAGTACGCAGGTTAATTCTGGGGACTCTTTTTATTTTTGAAGGTTGGAGAGGATTGATTTCTGTTTCAAGAAAACCACAGGGAAGTATCGGCTTGTAAAAATCCATTAGATGCCTATTCTATGATACTAAAACAGTGAATTTCTGCTTAGCAAAACTATTCTCACATGAAATGGTAATAAAAGAAGGTGCCAGTCCCTGGAATTTGAATTTTGTGTTGGCAGACAGAAACATTAAAGCTTGTCATCCCTTTGCACGTGAACCTGCCATGTCCAGATATGTGAAGTACTAACGTTTTTGAGCAGATTATTTCATGTTACTTTAAAATAACATCTAAGAGCCCAAACAGAAATGTATTTGCATGCCTGATGAAGCTGCAGGAATGAAAAATGGGAAAGTCAGGAATATTTCTCAACTTTTTTTCTTTAGTGAACTGAATCTCTGCTACCAAATTAACTGGTGAGAGGCAGGGCTGACAGCTCCACTGCATCTGTTACTTAAACCACATTTATTCATTCTATAAATATATATATATATACACACACACACACACAACATGGAACATAGAATCCTAGAATGGTTTGGGTTGGAAGGGACCTTAAGATCACCCAGTTCCAACCCCCTGCATCCAGCTCTGGGGCAGCAGCACAAGAGGGACGTGGAGCTGTTGGAGCGAGGCCAGAGGAGGCCATGGAGATGCTGCGAGGGCTGGAGCAGCTCTGCTCTGGAGCCAGGCTGAGAGAGCTGGGCTGGGGCAGCCTGGAGAAGAGAAGGCTCCTGAAGGGGAGACCTGAGAGCAGCTCAGTCCTGAGACCTCCACATTTAAGACTGTAAAAGTGCGGGTTTGCAAAGCTAAAGGACTTCATCCGGTGGGGACTGTGGCAAGGCATGCAGAGAGCAGAGCCCCAGGGCTGCTGCTGTCACAGGCCAAAGGAACACTGGTGTATCTCCAATTTCCTCTGCTCTTGTTGCTCTAATGAGCCATCTGGTTTGCAAACACACAACAGCTCCTCACTGCAGTGTCCAGCATTGCCTTCTGCAACCACCACCACCACCACGTTATAAAGCACAAGTAAAGGAAAGTCAGGGAATTCAGGACTGACCAGTCCAACATTGCCTTTTCCAGACCCACAACTCAAACAAACTCACACACTTCAAAACAACAGGGTCAATTTTTCTTCTTCATACATAAAGGGGACTAATGACCACGATATACTAACACCAATGAATCACTTCCCACTATAAATGGTCAGGGATGTTTCGGTAACACCTTGTTCTACGGCATCAGTGCTTCGGATGTACATTTTGCCAATGATGTGTTACAAGAAGGAATGGTTCATTCAGCACTTAGAGTGCTTTTAAAAATGTTTCCCCCTTTCAATAGTAATTTAGAAAATTACAAGCACTTTAGAAAGATTTAAGACCCCAAATAAGCCACGGAAAGAGTAAATGTCATAATTGAGCTTGGTTTTGCCTTGGTAATGCACACACACACGAAACCAAATTACAATAGCACGATGAAACCGTTAAGTCTTGGACTTTTACTGTCAGTGGAGGTGATGCTGGAAGGTGCTTGATGTTGACAGAAATCACTGAAATCATGGAATGGTTTGGGTTGGAAGGGACCTTTTCCTTTTAAAAGCAGCTGCAGAAAACTGAACATGAATCGAGAATTCCAGGCTGGATGGGGCAACCTGCTCTAGTGGAAGGTGACCCTCCCTGTGGCAGGGGGTTGGAACTGGATGAGCTTTAAGATCCCTTCCAACACAAACCAGTCTGGGATTCTATGACACCAAAAGCACTTTACACTTGTTAAATGTTAAATGAGGAACATCTTCAAGGGGTCTGACATAAGCAAAACCCTTCCTAGATAAGGCTGGCATAGGAAAAAATACTAAATTTGACATAAGCACTGATTAAAACCAAATATCCACCAGTCAGTCCTGATCGCAAAAGAACTCCAGGATGGAACTCAAATCACCAGGTATCAAATGACCACATAATCAGTGGTCGTATTTACAGGGAAAGGCAGAAACGAAGGGGCAAAGGTTTTGATGATTCACCAGAAGAGCTGTTGATTAATTGAGACGTGAGAACATCAGTGTGATGAGGAAAAGCCCTCCCAGCTTTGGATCCTCATGCTCTCGCTTATGTTTGTTCTGCATCTTTAAGTGCCTCAAGAAACGAGCAGGCACTTTCAAATGTAAATGTGAAAAAGTAAATAAATACCAAATTCCTAATTCAGCAGTACAGCAATTCTGACTTACAGATAAACTGAAATGCCCAATGTGATCCATGACAATGTGTTTTCCTCCTTACCTTTCTACTAAGCGACTCTTGAAAACAGTTTCTTCACATTTTGGACATGCATTTCCATGCCCTTTTTCTACTTTATTACTATTTATTATTTCTCCTACTATTGCTAGGGGAACACCAGAGGAGAACAGGAATGCTATCACATCATCGTGATTTCTGCCAGTTAATTCTTCGTTAATGTTCCCATGAGGAACGTGCCCTCCCCAGTAAAACGCACAAATGTGGTCTCAGTCCAAGGACAAGAAACTGAACTGCATTAAACCCCTCTAAACCTGCACAGAACTTGCCATACAGAAGGTCAAAGCCCACTGGGACCACTACAGACACTGGGGCCACCAGTTGCATCCTCCACAAAGCCATGGGTGCTGCAGAAACCTGGTGCTAGATGCTCATGGCCACCAGCTATGTCCCATCCCAAACCTGCACACAGCTGAGTTCTGCACCTGGATGGTGCTGAAGAGCTTTCCTTCCTCCACTCAATAATAGTAGCATGTGATGACTGCTTTCCCTCAAAAAGCCTCCTATTAACTAAAATACATAGTTATTTTTTTATATAAAATATATAAATTTATATAAAATAAATTATTTTCCTCTTTTAAAAGATCTTCACTTTATTCCAGCGTTACCTGCACACAGATGTTGCTGCCTGGGGAAGGACCAAAGTCCCCTCTCAACTCTGACCGTAAGTCAAGCCAAGCCTGCTCAAGGTGAACCCCCAAACCAACACCTAAAACATCATCATCAGTGCTTAGACCAAGAAATGTCATCAGCCAAACTAAAAAGAATTTAGTAGCTCATTTAGGAATAGTCATTAAAGTAAAAACATTATTTTAAATGATTTATAACCTTCTGGCGGATAACCTGGGAAGCAGAATTCTCCTGATGTTATTTAGAGATGGAAAGAGCAGCAGCAGCAACTATTCCCTAACCAGCTTTGCCCAATCACGTTCACTCCAACCCAAGTTTTCACAACATGCCTCTTAATTTAATCTGCCCTCTGGCAGGCTAAAGCCATTTCCCCATGTCCTCTCCCAACAGCCATTGTCAAAAGTCCTTCTCCAGCTTTCTTGTAGGCCCTCTTTACACTGCCATCTTCAAATTCTGAGACTGAAAAATTAAGACACTAAGAACACTTGCGAAGGCTGATTTTAAGAAAACAAGGTCACAATTCACGTAGCTACCTCTCATCCATGGATAGGAAGACAAATAGAATAGTAGGGAGAAACTTTTCTCAGGTCTTGTTATTATGAAAACACATAAATAGCATAACTTCCTTGTAACAATACTTGTTCTTTGCTTAAAACTACCAAAATCTTACCTCTGATAACTCTGAGGAATAAACCCATAGCTACCCTACACAACCTATCCCCAACTGCTTCTAAGGCACACGTCAACTGACATGGACACGTGCAATCCTCAGCTACTCGACGTGAAACAAACCTTACGGCAAAGCTCATTGCCCTTTAGATGCATTCATACTCAACCCTTCCAGCCAGCAAACACTGGGGGCTGAACCACATCCTTTTTATCAGCATTGACCAGGAATTAGGGAGATGGGAGCAGGGAGGGATGGGTGCCACGTGCAGCAGACCTTGCTGGAGCAGCGGGTGGTGGAAGGCTGGCACGGGAAGGGTCGCTGTCCTTGCAGGCTCGCAGAAGTAGGCATGCAGCCAACCCATGCACTGCTGCAGCGGCTCCGTCATCTCCTCGCTGCCTTCATACACCTCATAGATGGCCGTGGACTCTGCCCTGAAGGGAGGGAAAGAAATACAGAATTAGGGATAAAAATTACTAAAAATCAGTATTTGTACTCTACATCAGCAGAAAGAATAATAAGCTCAAAATATTCACAGAATCATGGAATGGTTTGGGTTGGAAAGAACCTTAAGATCATCCAGTTCCAACCCCCCTGCCAGGGACAGGGATGCCTCACACTAGGCCATGTCACCCAAGGTTCTGTCCAAACCGGCCTTGAACACTGCCAGGGATGGAGCATTTACCACTTCCTCAGACACCTGTGCCAGCACCTCACCACCTTCACAGGGAAGAACTTCTTCCTTATATCCAACCTGAACTTCCCCTCTGTCAGTCTGAACCCACTCCCCCTTGTCCTATAGCTTCAGTCCCTGATGAAGAAGTCCCAGCATCCAAATCTGGATACAGACTCCACCTTTTTTCTGCTCTGATAAAGATGAAAAGATCCATAACAGCAATGATGAAACGGATCCCCACCACCTCTACAAATGCACTGTGACACAAAGTTTCTTACACCTATAAAACAATTCATTGAAGACTGAGGAAAATGCCGTGCGTAAGTGAGCAGGGAGCAAGAAGTGCATCAGGGAGCAAGAAAACCACCCAAGTCCATGGTACACAATGCTTCCAGGGTAGGTGGAGGTGAAGCTCCTCCTGCATGGCCCCCAAGGGCGCAGTCCCATTTCCCCAAGGACCATCCCTTAAGAAAAAAGGAAAGAAAATGGCTTTCTGCTGAACCTGTGCCATCCTCTGCCCCGTTTCCTTCCAGCAGCTGTGGCAGGTTTCTGCTTTCCTCCACTTATTGAATTGGAAGGAAGCAATTGAGAATTCATTTGATTTTCAATGGCAGCTCATGCTTGCAGGGTACAGAGGAGCAAAGCAAGCAAACAGAAAGCACCTGCAAACAAAAATGTACTTCTTCCCTGGCTACTTACTCCTTTCTTTTCCTATGGAAGAGCAATGAAAATGTGAACACTGGATTTGCAAATGTTTCCCAACCCTATGCTCTGCCCATTCCCAACGCACCTGAGAGAAATGATGGGGCAACCAATAGAGAGACAATGTGAAGGGTGACTGCCAAACCAGCAACTCCTGCCATCAAACTTCTCACATCCAGACTCTTAAGCATCACTGAGGAGATATCCTAAGGTTATTGCAGCGTTTGCCCCCCAAGCTGGAAATACAACCAGACACAATAGAAACATAGAATCCTAGGATGGTTTGTGTTGGAAGGGAGCTTAAAGCTCACGTCGCTCCAACCCCTGCCACGGGCAGGGACCCCTTCCACTAGAGCAGCTTGCTCCAAGCCCCTGTGTCCAACCTGGCCTTGAGCACTGCCAGGGATGGGGCAGCCACAGCTTCTCTGGGCACCCTCTGCCAGCGCCTCAGCACCCTCACAGGGAAGAGCTTCTGCCTAAGAGCTCATCTCAGTCTCCCCTCGGGCAGGTTAAAGCCATTCCCTTTGGCCTGTCCCTACATCCCTTGTCCCAAGCCCCTCTCCAGCTTTCCTGCAGCCCCTTTAGGCACTGGAGCTGCTCTCAGGTTTCCCCTTCAGGAGCCTTCTCTTCTCCAGCTGCCCCAGCCCAGCTCTCTCAGCCTGGCTCCAGAGCAGAGCTGCTCCAACCACCAGAACAAGAAGTTTGTCAATACCATGCTGCTAAAACTCAACCTGGACAATGGAAGAAAGAGAAAACCACGGCAATTCTGCCATCAGGTCTGGGGACCGAGCAAACCAATACAAACTCCCCAGTAGGCGCCGGCGTGCTGCAAGTGAGCAAACCCACTTTTAGTACCCTCTTAGCAGAAAACCCCAGAAATGGAAGTGTGATGTACCAGTAACGGCAGAAAAGACACCGGGGCTGCTTTTGCCACAAGGCACCTCTGCAGAAAGACCAAACGTCTTCCCATGCTTGATCCACATCAGCTCGTGGAGCCGAACACAACGGGATGTCGCTGGAATCACACAGCCCCGCCGCTGCCTCTGGACAGGATAAATGATGTGCAGGAAGGAGCTGGGTCAGGGCTGCTCTCAGCCTGGTGCAGGATCAAACAGCCCTGCCATCTCCTCCAGCCCCAATTCACTTTCTGATTAACTGTTAGCCACCGAAGGCCGCGTCATTACTGGTTAGAGAGTGGCACAGGAGAGGAAGAACACAGAGGTGGACAATTAAAATACTCCAGTCGCACAAGAAGATGAGTTGATGGCTTGGAGCAGAGGCACAACAAAAAGAAGAATCAGCTTTGCAGCCAATGCTAGAAATTAACTGCAATCTGATTTCTCTTTCCATTTACTCACTGAGTTAACGCTTTTGATTTTAATTCTTTATATCTGTGTGAAGTAGTACAATTTGCTTTATAACACTGATGTCTACTTTATGTTACTCAGCGACTTAATAACCTCTTTGCTAAGAAAAAGGTATGAGAACCTATGTCTAAGCTTTTTTTTGTCAGGAATACCTATGACATGGACCTCAAACCAAGCTCCAAACACCCTGGATAATCCATTATTCTGCACATGTACTGAGCTCAGCAGAATGCGGCTCAGTTTTAGTGTGGATTGTAAGAGCTACGACAACGTAATAACTACAGAACAGGGATAATGCCTCTGAAATCTCAAAGAGAAGTTGGGAGACTTTTCTGCTCCATTTATCCAGAAGAGCATCAAAAGCACTCAAAACTCCAGTAACCTTATGTTTTTCACATCATCTTGTTTCACATCCTCAGGAGTCTGGAAATGATTTGGACTGTAATATCATCATAAAGCCAAGACTTCATCTCCTCACTGCTCTGCAGGCAAGCAGCCCCAGCTGCCTCCGACCATCCCAGCCTGACACTGCTGTGGTTTCCTCCTGCTCCAGAAAGGCACCAAACTACCATCATTAACCCCCAAAATATGTGAGAAGCAGCATGGCAGCATCAGCAGTGCTCAAGGCCAGCTTGGACACAAGGGCTTGGAGCAAGCTGCTCTAGTGGAAGGGGTCCCTGTCTGTGGCAGGGGGTGGAACTGGAGGAGCTTTAAGGTCCCTTCCAACACAAACCAGGCTGGGATTCTGTGATTATGTGTGTGCAGTAAGTTAGATGCCTGTCTTTATGGTGATGTTGCATGGATAATCAGCTGCAAGTGACTGCCTCATCTACACAGCCTTACAATGGGATTCTTAATTAAAACTACATCATTTAGCTCTTGGTGGTGGTGAAGTCCAAGAAAGAAGGTAAGGTCAGTCCCAGCACAGGAGACCACTGCATCCCACGAGCAGCCCTGCTGCTCCAACTTACACAGAGCTCAGCTATTCAGTGAGAAACTGAACATGAGCCGGCTTCAGTGTGCGCCTGCAGCCCAGAAAGCAACTGCATCCTGGGCTGCATCAAAAGGAGCGTGACCAGCAGGTCCAAGGAGGTGATCCTGCCCCTCTGCTCTGCTCTCGTGAGACCTCACCTGGAGTATTGTGTGCAGTTCTGGTGTCCTCAACATAAAAAGGACATGGAACTGTTGGAACAAGTCCAGAGGAGGCCACGAGGGTGATCAGGGACTGGAGCACCTCCTGTATGAAGACAGGCTGAGGAAGTTGGGGCTGTTCAGCCTGGAGAAGAGAAGCTGAGTGTAAACCTCAGAGGAGCTCCCTGTATCTGAAGGGGGCCTATAGGGATGCTGGGGAGGGACTCTTCATCAGGGACTGTAGTGACAGGACAAGGGGTAACGGGTTAAAACTTAAACAGGGGAAGTTTAGATTGGATCTAAGGAGGAAATTCTTTCCTGTGAGGGTGGTGAGGCACTGGAATGGGTTGCCCAGGGAGGTTGTGAATGCTCCATCCCTGGCAGTGTTCAAGGCCAGGTTGGACAGAGCCTTGGGTGCCATGGTTTAGTGTGAGGTGTCCCTGCCCATGGCAGGGGAGTTGGAACTGGATGATCTTAAGGTCCTTTCCAGCCCTAACTATTCTATGTTTCTATTCCATACCACTCCTACTACAATCTGACGTATCTATTTCCATTACAGCTTTTTTTGTAAGACTGAACAAACTAAGGAAGCCAGCTGGCTCTTGTGTCCACACAGCTGAGAGGGGTCTTCCCAATGCTCCATCCCAGCCCCATTTCTTCTGTGTCTTCTGATGTCTGCATAGGATGAAATGAAGGAGAAGATGGTTTTAGCAGAGGGGAGAGCATCAGGAACAGCACCTGTTTCAGTTTAACAGGCTCCTTCCAAACCACTTGCCAAGAACTGGAAGTTTCTAATGTGCTTCCAAAATAAACATGTAAGCAGCAGGTCGGCTTCAGGATCATCCTCAATAGCTTCATCATTATGAAAAGCAGAGAAATGCTCCGAGTGGCCTCAGTGGGCAGCCATGCTCTAAATCAGTATGGTTTTAATTAGGTCTTTTACTTCTCAGCTACTTTTTCCCTCTGACAGTCCTTCATAAGCCTTAATGGAACCATTATAAGATGGACCTTGAGTTGTGTGATTTACAATAGAGAGAACTTATCACAATGGCTCTTTGGCAACTTGCTGAGAGTAAAGGTAAGATCTGGCAGCTTCCAGCATAAATATTACAATGTTGCAGTGGCTCTATACAAATTTATTTGTATATAAATATACAAATATATATATTTGTATATTTATACAATATTTGTACTTATGAAATGTAATCAACTGGTTGAACATAACACCTAATGCTCACTTCAACTCCTGTAGCTACATTCACATGAATGTTTTCTCCCTGGACAGATACCTCACACTCCACAGTTTGCCCAAGAAGAGGTTTATAAACTCCTTCAGGTGTTGGGCTAATGAAGATTCTTCTTTATTTCTATTTGGAACAAAAAGCTTCCCAGCTAGCCCAAGTAAATGACCACAAGTCCTGGTAGGCTGCAGTCAGTTGAGGGCCAGTGGTCCATGTGGGCAGACTCTGATGACTCGTTATTACATTGCTCTAACAACTACAACAGTTCTACCCAGAACAGCAGGGATAAAGACCTTAAATAAATATAAATAGAAAAA